TGCCGACGACTGGGCGACGAGAGGCGGGTTAGTGAAGACAAATTGGAGCGAAGCGCCGTTCATCTCTACATTTCGGGACTTTGGAGCCAATGCTTGTGTTTGGTCTAATGGAGTATCTTCTTGTAATGTTACTTCTTCTAACTCTAGTAGTATCGCTGGTGATCGTCGCGAATGGCTTTCGCAAGAGCTCGATTCGACGGGTCAGAAGAGCTTAAAGTGGGTGCAGAAGAAGTACATGGTTTACAATTACTGTACGGACACAAAGAGGTTTCCTGAGGGCCTCCCTCTTGAATGCACTGTCACTACCAAGTGATGATAAGATGATTAATAAAACACAAATTTAGTTTATACGATTTTAGTACACACGTAATTATTTTTCTTCTTGATCTATGGCTTATTTTCGTTTTAGTTGTTGAGGGTTATACTAATATATATGTGTTACCGTTCAAAGAAGAGTGTTGGGGAACTGAAGCAATTGCTATGTTTTAAAATCAAGAAATGAGATTAACACAAAGCACCTGTTTGTGAGAGCTTTTTAAAAGTCGCTTTCTCGCTTTCTGAGTCCAAAAGCTTCATCTAGAAGTGTTTGGATGATCTATAAGAAGTTTCTAAGCTTTTCAGACTTTTCAGTTAAAGCCATAAAATTAACCTTATGAAAAACAACAAGGTCAACATTAGAAACTTCCACTTTATACACAACTATGGCGGAAGATTGTAGTTTACAAGGATGACAGGCTAAGTATTGTGTTTTCTGCTAAAATTACTATGCGGATTCATCCCATCAACCGACAACACAAGGCAAACATTCCTAGGTTCCACACTATATGCAGGATTCTCTACATCAAATATCGTCGACCCTCTTATAATGATGCCAAGTTAAATTTTTAGCATGCTTCGGATTGCGATATAATCGCTTTAATCTTGGTTTGATCGGAATGTACCATAACACCTACACAGGCACACCTTTTCTCCGTTGGACGGTTTCTTACCTTTCTTCTACCTAGACTCGTGGCACACCGAACACTCGATCAAGTATTCACATTCTTTTTGATATAGCACATAATCATTTGAACATGCATGTATTTTCTCATGTTCCATTTCCATAGAGCTCAACGTCTTCTTAGCCTCATACATAGAACCTGGCACTTGATTATTATTCGGAAGTGCATCTTTTAGAAATTCTGAGAGTCCTATGAAACATGCATTTGACCACCCACCCGACCCCTTCAAGTTACCCAATCTAATTAATCTGGACAATTTGGTATACTTCTTACGCCCATTATACCATAGTATCTCTGCATCGTCCATCATCTTCTCAAATAACTCTGGCCGGTGCACAAATTATCAACGTCATTCCACTCAGTTCCCCTAACCACCAAAGATGAACTTGGAACCTCTTCACCGTGCCATATCCATATTTGATAAGTCCAATCAATGCCATATCGGAACTAATCGAATCTAAGATCTTGCATCGATTATCTTCTAATATTGCCACATTGCACACACGAATAACGAATAATATTCCCTTTCATTGTATTTTCTACGAAAGAAATAAATTATTTAACCCTTTCCTTATATTCATTACTGAACCTATTTGCAAACATCCATTTCCTAACCATTGCTAATCAAAAAATGAAACAATAAATATCACACTTAAACCAAACACATAAATAATACAATTACTCCAATCAACAAATTAAAACCCAACACCCAATATTACTCACAATCATAAAATATAAACAAAATTCATTATCTACATAACAAATTCAAGACAAACAATAAAAACTCAACACCTATATTACTCAAAACCACAAAATCTAAACATATTTCATTATCTACATAACAAATTCAAGACAAAAACAAAAATCCAACACCCATATTACTCAAAATCACAAAACCTAATTTCAACATCAACATAAACAAATTTAATCAAACAATAAACACCCAACATCTATAATACTCAAACCCATAAAATCTAAGCTATTTTCTTCATTTTTTTTTATCAAATGTATACAAAAAATGTGAAAATTAATGAAATTTACTTGATGTTCTTCCTACAATTTTTGGCCCTTCCTGGATTTATGGAGAAAACGGCCGCGAACGGAAGGAGAACAAAGGTGAACAGAAGGATAACAACGGCGAAAGAAAGGAAGAAGGGGGGTGTTTGGGTGGAGAGATTGGTAGAATAACCCAGTATGCGGGCGTTTTAATTTTCGAGTGAATTTTTACAAAATGAAGTTTTTTCTGGGTTAAAAACTAGATTCAATGACGATTTTATGAAAAATCTTCATTTATAGTTGCCACGTCAACCACCATATTTTTAATGCAAAGTTTGACGATGGTTTTGTATAAAACCATCATTTAATTAGTGTCTTTAAATCCATAATTTTTTGTAGTGTATAGATATGGAAACTGTTAGGGAAAACACATCTCTACACCCACGCAACATAAAAATAAACTAAAACAAAATAACAGATAAATAAATAAGACAAAAATTTATATGTAATTTGGATAAATTTTCTATGTCCACGGAAGTGAGAGAAAAATTTATTGACAGTTTCAAAATTATACACTCAACAAACTTTTATTTTTACTCTCTCTACTCAAAACCCCTTACATCCTTACTTATGTCTCTCGTCACTTTTCTCTCTTTCTCTCAAAAGGGGACACTCTTTCTCTACACTTTTTTCTGAGTACATACATAAAGTTTTACACACAATATTTATTTATAGACTCATATTAAACTATAAAACAATTTTTACCCAAAAACTGAAAATAAATAAGAGTCACTTACCTAACAAAAACTGATATTAGATTGAACTTGCATATAGTAGATTGAACTTGCATATCTCTAGTAGCTAGATTGGCATGTACTTAGTTCAAAACTCTTTTGCTGGAAGAATATTATCTTTTACAATATTCAACTTTGTAAGTACATTCTTTGAGATCCATGTCAGCGCTCATCATCTATTCTGCGTGCCTAAAACAGAAGTATAAATAAGAGTAACAATATTAAAATGATATAACAAATTTTATTACAATAAAAAATTTCAAATTGACCTAATTATAATCAAAAGCTAGGTTGAACTGACAAGGCTAAAACTAAAAAGAACATTAGTAGGTTAGAGCTTTACATCGAGTAGTTAAGTGCATCTTAGTTGGCTAAACACTTATTGTTGGAATTCCAATTAAATATGCGTTATTTTTATTTATCTAATTCTGTTATGCTGCTGGACCGAGTAGAGAGGAATACTTTCGGTTAATTTTTATTCAACTTTTCGGAATGGGATTTTGAAGTGCTTGTAATGTAAGGGAGCCTGAGCTAACTACCGCCCCACTAAAAAAGCATGTATATATATATATATATATACATATATATTTGTATGTATATTGTAGTTTTGGAATTTTATAGCCCGACAATGCATAGAGACAAACTGGAATCTAGTAATCTACGACCTTTTTCAGGTAATCGAACCGTCATGTTGGATCATACATATTTATTAAAAGAAACAAAAGAGAAATGTAAAAGTGCCTGATGATGGCATTTGGAAGAGGAATACTAAACCTGACATACTGTTAAATGTGTACGAGCTAGAAATTTTTTTCGGGGCTGATGACTCTGAGAAAATATTAGAGTTATTTTTTCTAACATTTTTTATTTATTATTTAACACATAAATCTTATTAATATAATATATTATTATTTAAATAAAAAATAATATAGTATAATTTACGTGTTCAACAGTAAATAAAGAGAGTAATAGAAAGAGTGACGCTAATATTTTTTTATAATTAAAATAAAAATATAATGAGGACGGTAAAATAATTTTACATTTTTAGTAGAGAGTGTATGTATGTTACATAATACAGTACATATTCATGTATGTATGGGATTTTTTGAAAATAAAAAAGTTAAAGTCACTAGCCGTTAAGGACCCGTTTGTTTCATATACTTAAACTCAAATTATTGATTCTACTACAGTGTTTTTCTCTCACAAAAATAATTAAATTTCAATAATCAAAATCAAGAATCATAATTTGAATATATCTTCTAAATGAGCCTTTAAGTAACTCCGTGTATGAACGTGTAACAGTCACAACAGACATACTAATAAAAGAAAAAATAAATAATTAACATGTTAAAAGGAATGTAATATTATGCAAAATAATAAGTAATAAAGAGAATATATATGAACACGATGAAATAACTATTTGAGATATTCTTAAGAATGCCATAAAAAACGCACTATTTTATTTTTATATTAGTTTTAAAATTTAATCATTTGTGTCATTAATATTAGAGAAAATTGCATAATTTAAGGGATAATTAATACCCCTCATTCTCAATTAATAGTTATTTGAATAAAAATATTATTAATCAAGAGAAAGAAAAAGAAGTAGAACTTTTAATTCATGCATTTTAAAGGATATTTATCTCTTTTCTCCTTAATATTATATTATAGTAGGATATCTTTTATTTTCTACTACTATATTACATAATACAGTACATATTCATGTATATAGGATTTGTCTTAAAAAAAAAGAAACGAGTCACCGAGCCATTAAATGGTTTCGTGTTAGGAAAATATGGACAATACAACGAAGAACAACAATAATTTATAGAAAAATAAAATAACGAACTCGTTACAAACTAATTCAACCTTTGTACCAAACTCGGAAACTAAATTGTAAGGTTGTCGAGGCATGTGAACCACGCTTTCCTCAAAACAAATTCGTCCCCTCCGGCGAGTGCTTGAGGCAACGTTGGACGTCCGTCTCCTAGGATACAATGACAACGACGGTAGCTCGAAACACTATCGGAACCGTCCGGCGAACTAGAACTTGGACCTTCCCTCTATCACCAAAACGGAACTACAAACACAAGAGAGACTCGGAAATAGAAGAGAAAGAACTGGAGAAAGTGAGAGAAGAGTGCTCTGTGCAAGTGTGTCCTTGTTCATGTGGAGTAGGACCTTTATATAGGCTCCATATTCGACCAAGACATTACGGTGTTTTAAGACACACATTAATCTGCATTGTAATGGAGCAAAAATGTTTGATTTTTCCATGATGAATCCGGCCACACTTTGCATATAGGTTCGGACATTGATGATGAAAACTGATGGTATTAAGCTTAATAACCATGGCAAATTTTGGTTTACCTTCACTGTTCACCATTAAGCCCCATTACACACCATTATGCTCATTTACCAAGCATTAATCTCAGGCCAAACGGCTGGAAGGGCTTGGCTGGATCAAAAATAAAATTTACAAAAGTAAGCTTGCACGGAGCGGGTTTTCCAGACCGACATTC